CCCTCTGGAGTTATGCAGGGCACAGCTTTCACAGGTGTATACAGAATCCCTTGATATGCAGGACCCTGTCGATCCGATCCCCTTGACCCTGGGAAGAGTATAAGTATAAGGGGACTCTGAGTGTCCTTCTTACTTGCCACCCCAGTTAGAAGTTCCATCACAGGGGGAAGTTAAGAATAGCATAGGAAATGGAGAAGCCAAAGAACTTACATGCACGACCAATGGACACAGACTAAGGTGGGGGGCAATTGCTGGAGGAAAGAGGGGGTACAGGCTGGAGGGTGGCAAAGGGAGAAAAATTTGGACAACTTTAATAGCATAATCAATAAAAATATACTTAATAGAATATACTTTAAAAAAATTCCATCAAGGAACAGTGTGTGCACTAGATAGCAGCAACAGCCCTTGCAGTATACCAGTCAGAGACTTTTAAAGAGTGGCATCTGGGCAAGGAACACACAACACCTGTCCTCAAAAAATTATGTACCAGCCTCCAAAAAGGCTCAAGTAGCTCATCTCCCTCCCACAACTTTGACATCTACTGCTGAGAGAAAGGGAGAGGGAATGAGGGGAAAAGGTAATATTTACCATCTTCTTGGTTCCATTTCTTTCCAACCCAAGTATCAACCTTGTTAGGCATTTCAGGGTTCTTTTCTTTCAGTTACAGTAGACATGCAATATTACATTAGTTTCAGGTGTACAACAGTGATTAGACATTTATATAACTTACAAAGTGAACACACCACTTAGTCTAGCATCCATCTGACACCATACATAGTTATTACAATATTACTGGCTATATTTCATATATTGTATTTGATTTCTTTTTTAAAAGATTTTATTTATTTTTAGACAGAGGGGAAGGGAGGGAGAAAGAGAAGGAGAGAAATATCAATGTGTGGTTGCCTCTTTCACACCACTTACTGGGGACCTGGCCCACAACCCAGGCATGCGCCCTGACTGGGAATTGAACTGGTGACCCTATGGTTTGCAGGTCAGCACTCAGTCCACTGAGCCACACCAGCCAGAGCATATTTCTTATTATATTTTATTTATTTTATTACAGCTTCCAAATTTTTCCCCCTTTGCCTGTCTCTACCCACCACCTCCTCTCCAGACAATTCCCACACGGCTATTCATATTCATGGGTATGCATACATATTCTTTACATTCCCATGACTGTGTTTATAACCAACTATTTGTACATCTTAAACCCTTCACCTTTTTCACTCATCCCCCCAACACTCTCCCCAATGGCAACTATCAGTCTGTTCTCTGTATCTATGAGTTTGTTCATTGCAGCATTATTTACAAGGAGCTAGGAAGGAAGCAATCTAATCTTTCATTGATACACAAATGGATAAAGAAGATACAACAAATATATAACATAGAATATTACTCAGCCATAAAAAGAATAAAATCTTGCCATTTGCAACAACATGAATGGACCTATAGGGTATTATGCTAGGTGAAGTAAGTCAGAGGACAACTATGTGATTTCACTTATTGGTGAAATCTAAGAAACAAAACATCAGGTTCTTTAAATCTCCAGCTACACCCTCAGTTGTGCACCCAATCTTGGCTCCATTAAGAAATGCAATGGCCATTTGACACTGAACCTCTGAGCCTCTTTTTCCTCATCTGCAGAATGAAGGTAACAGTATTCACTTCAATGAGTTTCTGTGACAATTTTTTAAAAAAAATATATGCAAAGGGTTTAGCACAGTGCTTGACATATATTAAGTGCTCAACCAGCATGCTTTCTGTGTGTGGTGACCCTAGATCTCCTGTCCAAGGGGCTGGAGTCAAGAGGTGGTGATTAGTGTATGGACCAGCAACAAGGAGATATCCTCTGCACCTTGTACTTATTAAACCATAAGACTGTGAAAGATATAAATCAGCATCAGTTTTACCTTTATATTTTCCACAGAGCTTGCCCCTGTGCTCAGCACATAGTATGATATCATTTTGATCATGGCCTGGTTAGTAGTTTACAGAACAGAATACCACTGTATTGTTGGGAGATTACAATTCTAACCCCAGCACTGCCAATAATATGCAGAGTGACTTTCAGAAATGTACTATTTTCAGAGAGACATTGTTGAGTGCCTGCTATGTGGAGGGCACAACAACTGCAGGGGGTACATTTAAGACAGATGTGATCTTTGCCTCTGTGGAATTCTAACGAAGGAGATAAACTTTATACAATGAGCACACAGTTAGTTAGTTAGTTAGTTAGTTAGAGTTGTGATAAGAACTATGAGAGTATATATAGAGGGACCTACAGGTGTTTGGAAAGATAATTCAGGGAAGGCTTTTCTTAGAAATTTACATTTGAGCAGAGACCTGAAGGATGAATGAGATTTAGCAAGGTGTCACAGAGAAGAGCAGGAGGTAATGCTGCAGAGGTATGTGAATAGCTCAGGATGGAAAGGAGCACAGTGTACTGTAGGACTATAAAAGGTGAGTGTGGTTGACCTTAAGAAACAAAGGAGAATGAACTGGTTTGGGAGCAGTAGGCAAGGGGCCCAGCCATGAAGCAGCTTTTGGTCCTTCAGTCTAAGAGCAACAGAGAGCAGTGGAGTGCCAACAGGGACCCCAGTGAGAATGAATCATCCTGGCATCAGGAAATAAGGAGTGCATTGTCTGTAAGAGTTGAAAGACACTAATAAAACTAAAGAGAACTTATTTTCACCATGCACTACCAGTTCTTCTAACTATATCAATCAGCAGTGTGCTAGTAAGTATTTAAGAACTGGTTTTCTGGGAAAATTACACACATACACTACACACACCTATACATATATTATGTTACTGATATACAGGAAGTGTAGCACAATTTACAAATAATGACAAAATATCATTTATTGCAAATTCCATATAGTTGATGGATTCTTATGGAATGATGCATTTGTTGATTTTTGCTAAAGGCTTGTATCTGTATCCAAGTGATGCTTATAATTTAACTATGATTTCATAAATGGAATTGCATCTCAATCTGCTCTTAGAAAACTTGTCAGTCTATATGATCAGTTAAACTGTTTCTCACCCTTGTACAAATTAAACTAAAATCTTAGTTTCAGCACTAAACATAACACATTTTAACTTTAATCTGCATTATTAACATTTTCTCCATCACTTTCTTAAATCTAGAGATAATTAGCAAAACAACAAATCAAACCCTAATTCATAATGTTTGTCAATTTCCATGGTGTAAATTAGGGGTCCCCAACATCCAGGCCTGTTAGGAACCAGACGGCACAGCAGGAACAGAGCTTGAATGTAATGGGCTCGAATCATCCCAAAATCATCCCCTCCACTCCCGTATGTGGAGAAAGTTGCCTTCCACAAAACCAGTCCCTGGTGCCAAAAAGGTTGGGGACCACTGGAAAATAATCCCACAGTGGCCCATTGCAATCCACCAATGGGACATCACTGAATGTGAGTTATGAAGACACAGTAGCACAGCATTATATGTATTGCTGTCGATGGAAAGAAGTGGACAGATTTGATAGACATTTAGCAAGTACAATCTTGGTGGTTTGTCAGATGCCAAGGGTAACACATCACTGTCACAGAGAGGAGGGGAAAGAGGTGAAAGCATGCATTCCTTTTTGGATGTGTTCCATCTAAGGCGGTGGTTTGACATAACCAAGTGGAGAAGAGGAACAGGAAGCTAGATAAACGGGTTTGGAAGTCAGAAAAGTAAGAATCAGAATTATAGACTTGGGATATATTGATTAAAATGTCGGCAGTGGATTAAATCGTGCAGGGAAAAGTTGTAGCGTGAAAGAAAAGGCTGAGACCTTTAAAATATGTCAATTGGAGGTCAACAAGAGGCAGATAAACAAGCCAAGGAGACAGGAAAGCAGGAGAGCAGAGTACCGCTATCACCAAAAGAAGTAGGCGTGTTAAGGAGGAAGAATTAACTTTGTTAAGAGTTCAAAATGAGGAAGGAGAGGGTTGGATTTAGTGAATATGGGTGTTATTGGAGGCAGTTTCGGTGGTGTGTGGAAACCAAGAAGTGAAGGAGAGGTGGGAGACTAGAAGAATGAGGGCAGGCAGCTCTTTCAACAACTTCACCTAGGGAGAGAGGCAGCGTGACAGCTGGAAAGGTGCGCAGAGTTCAGGGACTGATTAAATGCTGATGGTGCTAAAGATTCAGTCAAGAGGCAGAGCCTGCTGTTATTATGAACTCAATGGTACTGTAAAAAACTGGGGGTTAGGTCGTCGGAGTCCGTGCTTTTAAGGAGTAGGTTGGTAGGTTTGACGGTGGAGGATGGATAAAGTTTCTTTTTCTTGAGGCAGGAGACAAAGTAATCTGAATAGAGGTTATGTGGGACAGAGTGGCAATCTGGTTGGGACTGGAAGTTTTGGGCAAAGTGACAGTGAATGAAGACGGATGGCAGATCTCGTCACAGGAGGGTTCGTGGGTCAGCAGGAGAATGAAGACACTGGGCCCCGGGTAAGGATCTGCTGAAAACAAAAACAAAAAGCGGCAGGACCTTGGATGGAAGCACGTATTTCAGTTCTGTTCTGAGAGGCAGAAGTGGAGACAAGCATTTGAAGTAACTCCTCCCACACGGAAAGAAGTCTGGAGTTCTGGTGTTTCCGATTCAGTTCCTTTTCCTGCAGTCCCGCCGGCGAGAAGCGCAGACAAGACAGAAAAAAGTGTCGCACCGACAGACAGCAGGAGAAAGGACACTCCTCCAGCTGCTGGCGGGGACCGCGCGGAGCCGCCCCAGCAGCCCGCCTCTCCGGGCCCTGGCGGAACCGCCCTTTCCGCCATGGCTCCGCCCGGACTGCACTACTTACTCGGCTTCCTCCTCAACGGCGAAGTCCGCCTGTCCCTGCGCCTCCTTCACCGCCCCTAGCCTTGCTAACATGACGTCCCCGGCGCATTAGCCAATGGGCTGAAAAGGAACCAGCTGCAGCACGATGGTGACGGCAGAATTAGCCAATGGCCGAAATTAGGGGGGCGGGTTAAGGCAGGAGCGTGAGAGTGAGCGGCGGCACGCGTGGGGAGCTGTGGGAGGTGCGGGTGGCGGGCAGCGCGAGGCGCGGGAGTGGGGCGCGTCAGGGCAGCCCTTCCCCCTGCCCAGCTCTGGTAGGGCGACCGGAGCTGTGGGAGTTTCCGCGCCCGGGAGGGAGATGCAGCTGCCGCTCTGGCTGCTTGCAGGTAACGTGCAGGGTGACTCCCGCAGGGTCGAGTGGGGCCGAGCACGCCGCGGGACGAGCAAAGTCGGCGGCGGAGTGGACGCCAAGTCCCCTCTATCGCTGATCCCCAAGCTTGGTGAGCCGTTCTGGACCCCGCGGCGGCGCTGCTGGAAGAATTGGTTTCGGGACTGCAATTGAGGCCGGGGCCGGGGGGACGCAGGCCCCGGGCGCGCTGCTGTAAGCACGCGGGAGGGTGCGTGCTCCTCCTGCCTGCATCCAGGATATCGGCTCCTGCGCTCCCTACGCCCGGTGCGGTGGTCACCCAGCCTGATCATACTGCGCGAGCCCTTCCGCAGGCCTAGGGTGTACCGGGCGCCTACGGCACCTGGCCTCAGGACCCCGCGCCTGGCCGCCAGCTGGCCGCGGCGCCGGCGATGGCTGGGTGCAGCCTGGCCACTTGGCCGAGAGCCCTGGATTAAAGGCGGCACCCCTGCAGCGCAGCGAATGACAGCTACTCCAAACTGGCTGCGGAGCAGAGCGGCAGAAAGCCGCCCCACTCATCGGCCCGAGGCCACCCAGCCGCCACTTCCTGCGCTGGCTTGGAGTGTGGGGAAGCCGAGCAGGTGGCATAACAAAGTGGGAACCTCGGATTCTAAGGGAGGGAAGCTGCTACGAGAAGGGGAGCCAGCCAGATGGAGAAAATGCTGACGGCAGGAACTGAGCAGACTAGGTTCTCTGATGGCCCTGTAGGAGAGGAGAGGGGATCTTTCTGAGACTGACTCAACTTTCCTGTTCACTCCCCAGGAGTAAGGCCCTGGCCCAGCAGAGCATCCCAGATGTTAGGGTCTACATTGTGCCTTGCTTATATCTCTGCTGTTCCCTGAGTACTAAAATGATTAGTTTTTGTTACAGATCATCTGAGATGACAAGTGAGGCCCCCCCAATTAATTTAAGAAGCACAAATTATTTTCTGATTCATTATTCTTCCTGTAGGGCCATTTGACCCTCATGACAACCTTTTGTGAAATAATACTCAAATATTTGGGCCTAAAGCAGGTAACATCAAGGCCATCTGTCATGTTCACAGTTCTGTTGTGCATTTAAAACTGGTATAAAGTGTTCATTTTCCTCTACGTAAACTTTCTAAATCAAAGAACACTTGATTCCCTCCATGTTAAGTCAGTATCTTTCTAACTATTCAGCCTTGTTTATTTACTTTACTTTAAGTAGTAGTAATTTCTTTAGCTGAAATGTAGACAACAGTGGTTGGTGCCTGCATGGTGTCCTGTATTGTGTTTGCAGCTGTAATTTTGAGTTGACCAGTAGTTTATCTTTTCATTGGAAAAGAAAAAAAGGGGGCAAGGGTGGGCAGCAGGTAGTAGCTGGAAGTATCCCCAGCACTTGGGGAGAGCACGAGTTACATCAGCTGGAGAAGTTTGAGGGACGAGTAGTGAGAGTTGCAGAGCCTTTCATCTCTGGGTTGAAAATCTGGAAGGGACATTATTACCATCCAATGATGTGTCTGTGGACTCTTGGTTCTGTCTCCATGTTTATTCAGAAGCCTGTCAAAAAAGATACTTGTAATCTCAGAGGGCCTGTTTGGCTGACTCCTTATTGATTCCATAACCTGAGGTATTCCCTTGGAGACCTTAAAACAAATACATTCAAACTGTCTTCTCAATCAAGGGACCTGGGATTCTTCTCTGTCTCAACGTGAAAGACATGGGGGCAGGTCTTTTAAAAGGAAAGACAAAGAGCCTTGGTATCAATAAACCAAGTACTAAAGGGAATTTTCAAAAGAAAATAGTCTGTGCCTGTGCTTTCATCCTCCTTGGAGAAGGTACTTATAATAAAGTTAACTACTCCATGGCATTTATTAAAGCCAGTGTTTCTAAACACTTTAGGTGGGTGTCTTGTTTAACTCTTTTTATAACCATGTGAGGTCAGCAAAGTTATCGTGAGAGCTGAGGGAACTTAGGCCCAGAGAGGTTAAGTAATGTGTCCAAATTTACACAGGATTGGAACCCAAAGAGTTTGATCCAAACATGATTTTGGTAGATCCAAAGAAAGCACCCATTAAGGGTGTAGTAGGAATGGGGACAGATAATATGTGATTTGGGGAGGTAATTTAATATTTATTTGGGCAAATTCCAAGACAGGAAGCTCTCTATTGCTGGGTAGTTGTGTTTTGCAGAGTAGCACAGAAAGTGAACTCTGAGAAAATAGGTGACATGCACAAGGCCACAGAACTAAGCAGCAAGGCTGAGACAAGGAATTTCTGGCTTTAATATTTTGCTTGTTTGAAAAAACTTTAAACATAAATGTTATCTGTAACTTGTCTCTTTCACAGATATCGAAGGTCATATCCTTATCTAGAATAACTCCTCTTTCAGGTATAGCTCAGCCCTTTCTGGAACAAGATATTATCTCAAACCAGTTGGTTTACAACATTCCCTCCTCCCTCTGTCTGTTGTCTGTGTATGAACCATTGACTTGGCCATCAATCATGTGCCCAGCCTCATTATCTCTATTAAACTCTTCTCTCTCAGATTTTCATCTATCTGTCATGAGTGTCCTGAGTTCTCAAAATCACAGTCATGTTTCATACTCCTCCCCTGCCCCTCCACATACAATGTGCTAAGACAGAACAATGAATATTTCTTGATTTTTCTTGATTGAATACAATAAGATGGTAATTTTTTTTTTAATTTTTTAACCTGTTTCCAGGACTATAAAAAAGTGATTTCCATTATGGGGTTGATAAATATAGGAGTCCATTGAATCAGTGTTTCTCAAGGGTAATTGAGCATCAGAAACCCAATGGTTTCCAGTTTGGTAGGCTGCAGGTGGGCCCAGGAGAATCTATGTGACCTAGGTGACTTCTGCCCACTAGAGTTTGAAAATCACAACTTAAAGTTTTTAAAGAGTACATCCTCTAAAATTGCAGCATAAATGACTGTGTAACTCTTACTAACTCAAGGTAAATATTTCTACTGCAGAAACATTCTAACAATGCACTAATGAATAATTATATCATGTTATTTTTCTCACAGATTTCTAACCAGCATAATGCTGGAGCCAGAGGCTGACAGCCTGCAGTTTTCAAAATGGCCGAGTTGGAGGCCGATTTGGATCACATCATTCCATCTTCTGTTCTTCCTCCTTTCAGGGCTAAGTTAGTAGTGGGATTTGTTTCCCTCTTATGTTTTGCACGTAGCTATGATGGAGATTTTGTCTTTGATGACTCTGAAGCTATTATTAACAATAAGGTTTGTATCTTAATTCCTTTCTGATACACGTATGTTAACCACTTGCTTATGTCTCAGTAATAATCTAAGTTTGTATTGAATTATTTCCTACTAAATTTGGGTTAAACATTTGCCTGGGCCCCAATTGTACTCTGGATTTCCCATCTCTTTCAGACAGTGTCTCCTTGACTTAGAGCCCTTTTATTGATGGCAGCAGGATCTCCAACCCCTGCCTGTGCACCCAATGTGATATGAGGCCACAAGCCGCACATGTATGAGAGAAACCATTATCCTAAGATTTCAAGGCAAGGGTGTTGCAGGACATTGCAGGCTGAGTAGGTTTTGTGACAGATCTCCAGAACTCTACGCCAGAACTGTCCCAGAAAAAAAGAAAATCATACAGTTGCTGTAGCGATGGCTGAGTCCGATCACCCATGGAAGGTATAGCCTCAGCACCAGGCAGTGAACTGGCTTCTTTGTCCTTCGTTGATAGCGTCAGGACAGCTACTGACAACCACTGGAGGACAGGGAGTGATGCAGTTCCTGATCATTTTGTGTTGGATACCCAGATTTGTTGAATGTGCAAAATTTCAGCGACTTTTGTTTGCCAGTGGGTGCTCCATTGGTTCAGGGAAAATGCACTCTTTCAATTGCTAACTAGAGATAGGGAAGAAGAAGGAAATTTGTGGGAAGGGAAGAAAAAGATTTAAGCAAGCCAAAAGAAAATCAGAACAAGAAAGCCAGAGAAAAGGAGGGCCTAAATGAGACAGACTGGAAATGGAGTCCTGTGACATTCTGGTTACTCAGGAGATATTTTATGTGTATGCTTTAACCATTAAAGAGAGTTTGAAGGAATATACTATTTTCTATCTGTAGTAGATGCAATTGTAGCAACTCTTTTTAACACTTTTGTTGGATGCTCTTTAATTTTTGAAGTCACAGTTTCTGCCAAAAGAGGAAAAAGTCATTTTCATGTTGAAAATATTGGGAAAAAATTGTCAGTATGACAAACATTTTTTTCTGTGGAGAGGGGTTGACTGTTTTGTAGCTTTTTTATTTGTAATGCATTGGAACTTATTTTCTCTTTTGATAGCACAAACTACAGCATTGTTGATGCTTGTTTTTAATTCAAGTTCTTCATTTGTTTTTAATTCAAGTTCTTTAATTTTCCTCAAGTTCACTCAGCAGTTACTGCAGATGTTTTTGTTTCAGTTTTTTTTTTTAAACCATGCTTAAGAGAAAAAGAAATAAGTTCGTAGCTCTAAGCAACTATGTCATGTCCATAGCTTAATAGCTACAGAACTGCTTTCCTAACAAGGGTTCGAGGATAAGAGTTTACTGTGAAAATTCTATTCTTATTTTGTTTAGAGTTTCTTGACTCTTCCATTTTTATTAAGTGGAGTATCTGTAAAGCATTAACTTAGAACCCATGTGGAAGAACTTTTGTAAGCAGGGCAGGGGACAGCTTGAGCTCTCTTGTGTGTGGGATGCCCTGGTGTGTGGGTATAGTTCTCTTTCCTCCTGTGTTGAGTAAGGCAGATGAAGCCATGTTGTGGCTCTACTGCACATTGTCTTGGCAGTGTTTTCCAGAGCATCACACTGTGCCCCTTTGTTAACATGCTAGCCCTCCCTTCTTTCTATCCTGGCACTGTGCCTATAGTAATGTGAAACAGGCTGTTACTAGGTTTTATTGGCATTAAAGACTGTTTTCCAGATGCGTCCTTGTAGTGTCAAGTTGCTCTCTTTCATTAAGATGATGATTTTGAGACACAGAGTTAGCAAAAATTTCAGACATACCATGTCTTTTCCATAAATCATTATGTGGAAAAATTGGCCTTTCTTTCTGTAGTGTGCCCTGCTCTGTTTAGGCTATACCTAATCAAATATTTAGAGCTTTGCTGGTGTTTACCTTCTGCTTGAATAGGAGAAAAGACCCTATGTCCAACCCCTTCACAACTGAACAGGTACTTCTAGACAATGCAAAAGAAGATGGACTTCCATTTTTAACCGAGTGAATTCAGTTAGTGGGTGGAATAGAGGACTTTCAGGAAATACCGAACCAAGTTATAAAGGGTGTCAGTACACGTAAGCCCTCTGAAGCTGATACCCAGTGGAAGAGAAATGCCCCCTCCAAGTAGCTATCAGGTGACCAACTTTGTATTTCTTGCCTCTTCTCAAGCCTTTTCCTTTGAATTAGCAAGCACTTAAGTAACTAGGACTCACCAAACTCCACTGTGTGTCATGTACACTGGGTGCTCTCTTGGGCCAGCCATGATTTGACACACTTCTGTTTGGTCATTCCCCACCTTCTGCAAAAACTGTCCACTTCAGAAACAGACACAGACATAGGCTCTCCAATCATGTACACCAACTATTGGAGTGAGGACCGAGTCATGCAAAGAGCTGGAGTCTGGAGACGGACGGGCAACCTCGACAGGATGTCCAATGGTGTGCTTTGTGGGTGTGCTTCTGACTGCACAGCCCTGAACCTGGTTTTCTAGCCCACCTGGGAGTCAGTGAGCCTTGCGCTCTCCTTTAAAGCATTCTTTTTTCAGTTAAGCCAATCAGAATTGATTTTGGTTACTGCAACAGAGAGTCTGGACTGATATACCATGTGGTATATCATTTCTAGTCCCTAAAATATTCTTGTTTAATTATACTTTAAAGAGAGAAGTTAATATTGTGTTGTTACTCCACAGTAACCTGTTCTGCCTTTCTTGTTGTTAGACACAGTTTAAACAGTATAGTTACATATTTAAATGTAAAAAAATGCATTTTTAAGCATCCGAATTATGGTACAAAGTTAAATTAGCTTAGTATTGATAATAAGATAGATTTTTTTAAAGACTTAGTGATCTTTGTGTTTAAAAATTGTTTTTTCTTTAATATTACTATCTGCTTAGCTCATGAAAAAAATGGAAAACTTAAAAAATGCACATTTATCCATTCATGTTTTAACTGAGATATTTTTGTAAATTACCATATGTATTGGATATGAGAGAGGGTAAGAGTGATCTTATTTGGCTATATGGTCCATTCTTCAGGATAGATTAAGCACCTTCTATGTACTCCCAGCAAACATAGATGTATCTGGGCCTCATGGAGCCCTAGGCCAGTGAAGCAGACAGATAATAGTTATATGAGTATAAATCACCAGTGTGCCAGGTGCTCTGAGGATAGGTACAAGATGCCACAAGACCCACAGAAGGGAAATTGCATCAGCTCAAGAAGGTCATAGCTCAGTGGCTGAACTATAAATGATTTGAGGAGCTGAGTTGTGAAGAGTTGAGGGGTGGCTATCTGGGTGGAAACCTGAACATGCAAAGCCTTTCAGATAGATGATAGCAAGAGCTGTGTGGGGACAGATGAAGACCATTAGCAGGATCACTGAGTCGAAGAGATGAGTCTTCAGAGTTTGGTGGGAGCCAGAGCACCCTGGACTGGTGTCCATGTCAAAACATTGGCTTTGTCCTGGAAGGGGAGGGAACTGTTGCATTGTTTGAAGCAGGAGTGTGTGCAGTGACTTGATTTGTATTTTGGGAATATCAATGTGAAGAACATGTCAGAGGGTTCAGTAGACCCTCTAGGAGGCCTGCCTGTGTCCTAGATGAATGACAGCGGTTCCTTGGCCCAGGATTGTTGGGAGAATTGGAGAATAGAAGTATGAGGAACTTTAAAGAAGAGGACTTTGTTAGCTATGGGGTAAGGAGTCATGGCTCCCTTGTCCAGAATGTCCTCTGGTTGTGTTCCTTCCTACAGGACCTCCAGGCAGAAACGTCCCTTGGGGACCTGTGGCATCATGACTTCTGGGGCAGTAGGCTGAGCAGCAACACCAGTCACAAGTCCTACCGACCTCTCACAGTCCTGACTTTCAGGTGAGGTATGACAGTATGGGCTGTACTGGAGGGTCACCCAAAACTTGTGCATTATAATGTATGAGGCTGTATACGACAAAGTTCACAGGGTCTGTGAGTCAATCGGTTCCTAGGGTTTCCAACATGTACGGGTACTGAATAATTCCAAATATTAGGAGTTAGGTCACAGAAGATGGAGAGAACATGTATGAGGAAACTTTATTGCAGAGCTTGCTTTGGCAGTAAAGATGCTAAAAGTGGAACAATACAGGGAAAATTAGCATGGCCCCTGTTCAAGGATGATACACAAATTGGTGAAGTCCTCTAGTTTGCACAATTCTTGGAGGTTGGACCCTCCACTGGTTAATACCCAGGAAATTATATGAGTCAAGGTAATGTGTGGTATCAGATGAAATTGTCATTTTTTTTCAGTACAAAAAAAGGTATAAATCTTCCTACTGTTATGAAGTCAATAGGCAAAAACAAGATGAAGTTAAAAATAATCTAATTCTCTCCCTGCCCCTCCTCATTAATCAGGGAGCTGTTTGCATCAAATAGATTTATTCACTACAGAGTTTCCATTCATAGCTGTTTCTTGTATGCATTAAATACTTGTGTCTAGATCTCCCAAAGAAGTATGTAAATGATGAATTGGAATCACTGGTAATTGAAAAGCAGTCAGAAATAAGAATCTCTGACAATGAGAAAGTGATTCATTGTTCAGGAGGCTGGTAGACAAACTATAAAGTACTTTTTTGGTGGGGGGATAAGCAAGTTACATGACTCTTATATCCAGGTCCCTATGGGACAGCCATGAGTAATGTGTGATATATATTTTTGGGAATGCAGTCTTGTTGTTTTTGCACTTTAAAATTGGTCTAGCTTTGCCTCCACATATTTTCTGTCCCACTTCTCTGAGGTTACCTTATTATCTATTTCCCCCTCTGCAGTTAATTATGTCCCTGCCTTCTCTTCAGTCTTCTTAGTTTGGTGACATTATTTATCTTGCTGTTATTTTACCAAAGTCGCACAGAATCTTTCTTTTCTCCTTTTAATATTTTTACTTACCAACCTTTTCCTTGAGATGGTTTGCATTTATTTCACATGGTTCTGCACACCCTTCATTTGCTACAGGATTAACTACTATTTGTCAGGAGGCTTCCACCCCATGAGTTTCCACATAGTCAACATTCTTCTGCATGGTGGCATCTCTGTCCTCATGGTGGATGTCTTCTCAGTGCTATTTGGCGGCCTGCAGTACAGCAGTAAAGGCCGGAGGTTGAACCTGTCCCCCAGATCATCCCTGCTGGCCGCACTGCTGTTTGCAGTGCATCCGGTGCACACTGAGTGTGTAAGTATTGTTTGCTCATGGCATCTGCACTTGTGTAAGGTCAAGAGGCTGTCCATATGTCAGTTTGGTTCCTAAAACAGGCTTCCTTTAAATTCTCAAAGAGCTGTAGGCAATACCTCGTATACATGGCTATGCCCTGCCAGATGTTTGAAACAATTGTGTGTAGGCCCAGTAGACCTCTCTTGTGGAAAGATGCAGAGTCTCATACTGATGAAGACTTTATAATGGTGGTATAATATGACCTCTGATGATATTGGGTTGGCCAAGAAGTTCATTTCTTTTTTTCCTGTAAGATGGCTCTAGTAGTGCTTAGTTGTCTTTAACTTTATTCAAAACAATTTTGTTAGATTATATAGTGACAGCTGTCACATCAGTGTGCATTTTAAAAAACATCAAAATTGGTGAATTTTTGTGTAGCCATTTTAATATTGAAGATGGAAGAAAATATGCAACATTTTCAACATATTATGTTTTATTATTTCAAGAATGGTAAAAATGCAATAGAAACACAGAAAAGATTTGCGCAGTTTATGGAGATGGTGCTGTGACTGATTGAACATGTCAAAAGTGGTTTGCGACATTTTGTGCTAGAGATTTCTCACTGGACGATGCTCCACAGTCGGGTAGACCAGTTGAAGTTCAGAGTGATCAAATTGAGTTACTAATTGAGAACAATCAAATGTTATGCGACATGGGAGATAGCCGACATATTCAAAATATCCAAATCAATAGTTAGTGGTGAAAATGAAAAATGTGTCTTTTGCAGAAAAAACTAAACAGACTTTTTGGCCAACCAGTACTTTCTGTTTCGTTTATATGACCCCACTGTAAAGATATGAATGTTGAATGTTTCCTGGCTTTGGGGTCTACAAGCCAGAGGCTAAGATTACTTTCCTTCCTTGAAAGGTTTGATGCTCAATTTTCCTGTGTTGGCTGAGAGATTTATAAGTTGCAGAATACTTTCTCATGCTATCATGATTGTCACAGAAACTCTGGCAGCATAACAATTTTACTTTACAGAAGAGGAAAAGGCCTGGAAGGACAAAAAACCAACTTATTCCAGGTCAATCCTGTAGCTTGTAGATATAGAAATGGAACTTAATATCTTGCTGTCCAAGGTCTGTAAAGAGGCGATGACGGCATGCTTTGAGTTGAACTAGAAAGTGGGTCCCTAAGTCCTACTGTGGAATTACTCAGAAATTCTCCCTACCTTCCTTCTCCTCCCCTTCTTTTCCTCTGTGTTATTTGCCTCCCCTTGACAGACTCAGCCCAGGTAGATTGGCAGCTCCTGACAGGGGCCTAACCTGTACCTTTATTCCACTGAGCTGCTGCTGAATATATTTGGTACAAACTGTGTGGGGTTTTCAGGAACTATGCTATCCCCTCCTCCATGGGAACCTTTTGAAAATCTTTGCTGAGGTAAAAGATTTGATTTTATTCATTTATTATGTGAGTATGAAGTACCTAGTGTAAAATACTACATGTACTTTATTACTTATCCACAACAGATTTCTGCATCTCATATGTGTTTAAATACTTATACATTAACCAGTTGTATGGAGCATCCTGAAATTAAGTCTCAAAATTCTGAGCAGAATTCTTGCCTTTAGGATCTCATTTTATTAATTTTATTAAACTACCTATCTTTAGTATTAAGAGGATTATGGAATTGCTCTCGGAATGTTCTTCTGATTTTATTACTAAGCTTTAAAAAAATTCTCATAATTTTTTACTTCAGCACATTTGGAGGACTTAAGGTATTGGCAAGCTGGGAACTGCTGTAAGCTCTGTGTGTGTGTGTGTGTGTGATTAAATTAGAATTTGTTTCTGTATGCGTTCTTTTATAGTCTAAATGTTTGTTGGGACTCAGAAATAGTATACACATTGATCAGAAATAAGACAATTTTAGGTAAGATTACTGATTTACAGTTTTGGTCTTTATCTAATTTTGTGCGATCTTAAAAGCAAAATAAATTCTTGAATTATTAACCAAACAAAGTTTTCTAAAATTCTGATTTTAAATATTGAGAAGTTAGTTTATAGAAAAGTTGGAAATGCCAACAAGTTCAACTGGCCATGGATGTGCATGTGCGTACACATGCCCCAGGGATATGCAATCTAGGAACGTGTTACCACTAAAATTCTGCATTTGAGATATTTAAAAATAAGCCAAGAGAAGTTTAGCTATGGGAGAAAAAGGGATATCTAAAAAAATTTCCTAATCTTTCCCAGCCCTTTTCATCCCAGGAAAGCCATTTAAACTCATATTGCAAGGAAAAGTTATGGGTCATTAAAAATTAGTATTCCTAAGACAGATAATTTGTATATTCACCTTTCATTGTTTTGACAACTAGTCGGTATTCAATTTCATCTTACCTACACCTCTGTTATTTTCTACTCTACCTTTAACCCAGCTTTAAAAGTGAGCATAAAGCAGGAATACTCAAAGAACCAGATGGAAGGAGAGCAGCTCAGAGTTTCCAGGCCAGGACCGAGGGAACAGCTTTGTACTGTGGGCCTGGCCAGGATCTCTAATAACGGTTCTCCGCACAGCATCTCCACCACTCACCCCAACTGAACGTGGATCTGGGATGAGGATTGAGGATTTGGGAATAATTGTGCTGCTTCTGTTTACATTTATTAAGGAAAAGCTGTAGCAGTGTAGACCTCTCCAGATTTAGTAATATAAATTTTTTACATTAACATTTAGGTGTTTTGTGTGTTAATATTAACATTGGAAATGTTTTTGCTCACTGCAAATAAGAACCTACATTTTCCAATCTTTGTGGTGACCAGCTATCCACTTTGTTTAAGGCTAAGGGGGTTGTGGGACACAGGACTTGCCATTTCAAAACAGGGATGGTAATAGGTAAGCCGACATGAGTCAGTCACACCCTGAAGATGTCCCTCCTCATGGTCCCCAAATGGTAGTGAAATAATTGTAATCTGTTTTATTGGTTTCCGAACTCATATAAATGTCTCATTTTTCAATCTTGACACCCCAAATCACTCTGGAGTATTTGTAGCTGGATAAAGCTTCTGATAGACCAGTTACCAGAAGAGGGAGGAGAGCTAAGAGAGGGGCTTGCACAGCCCCTTGTCTCTTTGGAGACCAAGAAGGAAAGTCCCTGGGAGTTCCCTAAAGACACAGTGCAACTGTAAGTTTTCCTTTTCCCCAAAGTATTGATGAAGATTTCAAGTTGCTGGAATTCAGGCAGCTCAGGACTCCTTAATCTGCCTCTCCAACGAACCCAGAGTTTAATGTGGAAAGAGTTGGATGGGGAAACATTCTCCCTGTCACCTTCTTCTGATTCCTTCCTGTGGCCCCCTGTGTACATTGCTTTTAGTGGGGAAACAATGACGCGATCTGCTTTATGGATTTGTATCGGGGGAGTGCAGTGATTTTTCCAGAAAACTATGGGGGAAGAAATTTTGCTCTTAGGTTCTTTCAGCTGCTCTAATAATTAAATCAACCTGAGATACAGATTAATAAGATAAAATAACCAAATTTAATTACATACATATGTATGAGAACCCCATATACATGAGAAGGTCAAGATCCCACATACGTGAAAGCTCAGAGACGGAAAGGGAAAATGAGCTCTATATGGCATCGAGAATGGAGAAATGATGTACAATGCCTTGGGGGCATTAGAGGGGAGGAGGGGAATTCGCAGGATGATAAGAAGTGCAGATGTTCAGTAATTAGAAGTTTGCCCTGCCCTATAGATGGGTCATAAAAAGTTATTTCTGGTAATAACTCATTATGGGCAAGGCCCCAATTTAGATTCTTCTGGATAGTTGAGGAGCAGAAGTTTCTTCTGAGCTCATAGGGTCTCAGCTGCCTTCAGCTCAAACTAATCCACCTGCCAGAGTGGCACACCTTAGGGAAATTTGTTCTGAACAAGTTCAAAATCCTGGTATGAGTGGTTTCAGGCTATCTGTAAAAATTAAAAATAAAATTTGTAAAGAACTTTGCTTGAAAATACATGTTATGCAGGTATCATAAAACAAGAAAGTCTCTCCATTCTTATGCCCATTTCCCAGTTAGATGTAGTGCCTGCTTGGGTAGGCTTCTACAACCTTTTCTATGAAATCTCTTTAATTACTATGCCAAAAGTTTATTGTAAGGACTAAATACTTTTTTTAGTTTAAGATATTTGCCATAGTTTTTAAAACTTGTTTTTCTTTATGTCAGAAAGTGTAATGCACATTGCTTAAACTTGATAGTATCTCCACCAGTTAGCCAAAGGAAGAATATTTGTTTTAAAAATAAGTTTATGATGTTTAAAGTTCATTTTACTATAAGTCTTTGTACACAGGTAAGAAGTGGTTGGCTGTTTTGGCCCCTATTCTTGTATTTATCCAAACCAATTCCCTCCCCTTCACTCATTTCAAGGAACCTTTTTCTCTGACCTCCCTGTCCTTCTCCCCAGGTTCCACCTGACCTCCATGATCTAAGGACCCTTTGGATAAGTTTCTCTAGGTTGCCTTTGCTTACTTTATTCTCCCTCAGGGTTTAGGATTCCAGGCCATCCTCAGGCCCTGTAGATAGCCACAACTCTCATTGTCCTGGCAGGAGACCCATAGGATCAGCTGCTCTATACCCCACTCCCCAGGTGCCGTTGGAGCCCATATCTGCCTCACCCTGAGCTTTTTCCATTCCTTTCTGCTCCTCAAATTTATAAGAGCACCGTTCAGGATTCAAGCAGAGAACTAACAGTGAGCCAGCACCTACTATGTGCTCTATTTGGTTTCATGCATTCCTGATTATAGTGTCCCTTATTGAGTGTGTTACAGGTCAAACTATTCAAAAATTCTCGTTGCATATTCACTTCACTAATGAAACAAATACACTGTTGAACCCTCTGGCATACTGGCATATTCATTCTAGACCAGTTAGTCTTTATTTGTCCTTAGCTTCCTTCTTGGATGTGAGTGCATTCACAGATTGGATTCATCAGCTCTTTCAGTCATCGCAGAGATTGCAGGACACCTTGGGGTGCCATGTGCACCTGCAACAGGAGTTCATGATCAGAATGTATAATCACCCTCAGTGTTTTGTATCTAACCAGTATAGTGGGAAAGCCCTAAAAAGCTTTTATAGGTATTGCTTATATACACACTTGGGATTTATGTGTAAATGTAGTACTTTTCATATTTTTTGTACATTCTTTTATTTCCACTTATAGAATAGTCTTTATTCTGTATCTCATATATATGCCCCTTAAGAAAATGTGAACTTACAGGCCATTAAAGTGATACCTAAGGAATCAGTAAAACTTTGATATATGTCACATACAGGTGCTAGTTAGTAAAGAATGCCACATAAACTAGCCTGATACTCATGAGTGGAATTCTGCATCTTTCATTGCCACAAAACCTTTGGAGAACAATTATTGGAGTAATTAGCCTGAAAGAAATAAAACACAAATTTCATATTGCTTCATTGTCACTAATAGAAAGAGGGGAAGGACAGTTGTCAGATGTAGAAAATTGGGGTAGGAATGGTAGAAATTTTATTCTGTTTTCACCTTACTTGTCAATCACTTTTGAAGCATCTTGCTTTCCAGGTTAACCTACTTAATCAGTTTTGGTCTGAAGGGAGGAAAAGATGGCAGAGGCAGCTTAGAGCAATTATCCCTGTCTTTGTCTATATGCCCAGTGACTTTTTTTTTCAATCCTCATCTGAAGACATGCTTAGTGATTTCAGAGAGAGGGGAAGGGACCAAGAGAGAGAAAGAGAGAGGGAGACACACACACAGACACATACACACACACACACACACACACACACACACACACACACATCTGTGTGAGATAGAAACATTGGTTGCCTTTTGCAAGCACCCTGACTGGGGATGGAAACTGCAAGCTAGACATGTGCCCTGACCAGGAATTGAACTGGCAACCTTTCGGTTTATGGGATGACACTCCACCTAACTAAGCTGGACTAGCCAGGGCTCTGCCTGATGACTTATAACACTTATTTCCCACCTGGCCTTTATGTTTTCCATCAAATTTTCTTTTTAAATATCATGCCCTTTAAGCCAATAACATTTTCCAATTTGTTAATCCACTTTTGTTAAGCCAGATAATCCACTTTGGGGACATCAGAAGCATAGGTCTCTGCAACTCTTGGGGATGGGGTGCTAAATGACAGGGATTTCACCACACAGGTGCCTTGCTGACTGTGTCCAGCCCACAGAACAGCCACCAATAGGTGCAAGCAATCCAACTTTCTCTTAGAAACAGTCCTTGACCAAACGCAATTAAAGAAACTAGTTGAAGGTAAGACCACAGGGATGTTGCAGTTACACAGATTATTTTAATAGATGACAGAGTTTAATAAGGTTTTTGTTTTCTACTTCTAAGAAATCTTTTATATTTTCTAAGTTTATCTCTTTCAAAATTTTTAAATGTAAATCTTTTTTTCTTCCCTTTCATTTAAGGTTGCTGGTGTTGTCGGCCGTGCAGACCTCATGGGTGCCCTCTTCTTTCTGTTATCCTTCCTCGGCTACTGCAAAGCATTTAGAGAAAGTAAGCATGACGTTTGTCTTCTTAATCTTATGATGGTAAATGATCTTTTTATGTAAGTTTATCACTTTGACGGAATATGGGTCAAAAGGTATAAGCTCTCTAGGTATTTTTAACTCCATTGCTTTCTTAATAATACAAAGCTTGTACATCAGTAGTCATATGGGAGCAGCCTATTATGTGGTGAAATCAAGAGTTTCTGCTCTTGGCACTGAAGCAATTGTGATTGGTTTTTGTGATTTTATTTCCAGCAAAATTATAGGGGGGAAAAAAGCTTTTGGTTCTGTTTTATTAAAAACACATGGAGAAAAAAAACAGAAAAATGCTAAAATGTATACCTGCGAATATGCACCTGGAGTATGAGGTTCTAGTTTTTTCATTGGAACATTATTAATACTTACAAAGAAAGTAACTCTTGGCATTGCAGTAACAGTTATGATGGGGTAGGGAGTGCATGTGTGTGGATATTAGCATAAGTACATTTATTGAAACAGCAGAATCCCTGTCTAATTCTACCCATTTTATGGATTCTGATCATGTCCTAAATTGTTTTATCATAGAATTTGGATATGATGAATTTAGCTTATATAGCTATTTGCACATGCTAACTCCAATAACAGTTACACATTCAATTTCTGTATCTGAAGAAGTTAGAACTTAATGGACTATAGAATTCTCTCTTTATATAGCACAACTATTTATATTTTTGTTGGGGAGGGGTATAAAAGGGAAAGTGAGGGTCATGATTTCCTATGGAATGCTAGAGTGATTGAAGCAGAAGCAGTTATACTCTAGCTTTGTTGAGCCTGTTCCATGGTGTTTCTCAAAGCTTGGAACAGGCCAGGGCTGCCAGGGCCTTAATATTATTGTCATATACTAATGCATGCTCTTTGATGTCTCCTGTGAATTAATCTATTAATGATGAAAATCAGGTCACTTATTCAGGATTTTGTGTGTGCTGGGGCTGGTAAAATGGGAGAGCTCAGAGCTGGTAAATGGGCCTAAGAGCCAATTCTAGCCCATTACCTGTTCTCATTTGGCCCACAAACTAAGCGTGATATTTACAGTTTTAAATGGTAGGGAAATTCAAAAAAGAAAAAAACAAAACCACAAGAATAACATTTCACTCCCCACACCATTTTATTATTATTATTATTTTATCTTACTCAGATAAAACCACCACTTTTTCCTTTGACTCATCATTTTTCTAACAAAACAGAGTGTTTGGGAATAGCTGACTAGAACAGCTTCAAGTACAGAGAATAGTGGTAGTGACTTTCTTCCTGAGACTGAAAGTTAATTTAGCCATAAGGTATGTCCAGCTCTTTCTGGGATCAGGATCTCCCCAAGAATGATAATCATACATACAATGCCCAAGAACCTCATGGTCCCAGTGGTCTAGTGGGGTGGGAAATTCCTCCTGCCCCAGCTTGAGGACATCCTATACCATGGTGTAGCTTTTCCGTAAGATTGTGAACCAGTAGTGGGAGTGGGAGATAGGGAAGGGATCCGTTTATTCCATCACTGCTTTGTTCATCATAGACAATGGTAATTCATATTCCTAAGTTGGCAATTAAATCTGAAGTTAGATAACAATTTACCAGTAGTCATATTTTCCCTGAAGAAAATTAAAAATGGGGGAAATCAAGATGGCAGAGGAGTGAATAGAAGTCACATTGACCTCCTCCCAGGACCAATCTGGAATTATAACTAAATTGTGGAGAAATCACCTGGAAAAAACAACTGAACAATAGCAAGAGAGGAGCCTTATAACCTTGGAGACAGAAGAATCAGCGTTAGCACAAACTAATTGGTAAGGACTGTGGTAGAGACTTGAGAAGGCAGGTGGGGTGCCCACCAGCACCAGTGCCAGAGGGATATTGAAATGGCCAGTTGGATCCCCCTGAGAAGAGTGGGGTCTAAATCATAAGCGGGGATCTCCAGCATACAGCACGAGAGCCCAAAAAGTACACAGAAAACAGCCAGCTGGGAAAGGCAGCAGGGTTACTCTCTGCCAGAGGCAGGTGGCTGGAGATGCAAAGAGCCTTTTAAAGGGCCAATGCTTAAATTTTTATTTGCAGCCACTTACTCTGGGCACCGGCAAAGGCAGGGGCAGAGTGGGCTGGAGAGACTGGGGAAGGAGGCTTTGAGGAGAGAGCTGAGAGAGAAGCTGACAGGATCTCGATGCTGACTCCTCCCCCATATGGCAGCAGCCATCTTGCTCAGGAAGACCACTCCCTTGAGTGTCAGCAGCAGGAGAGGGATCAATAATCTCACCCCTAGGAGGGACTCTACACCTCCCTGTGGTGTCTAAGCCTGACTGCTGAGTGCAGAATGGTTAGATTAACAACTGAAGGAGACAGCCACAGACAGTAGATTGGTGGAATTCTTGAACAGACTGCCTAAGGTCAGACAAGGTCAACATCTGACATCATCAGAGATAGATCCAGAAAGAAAAAACAATGGTCTCCAACCATAGAAGTTCACACCACAAAGTCAGGAAATCAAGACAGATCAATATAAGAAGCAGAGGCAAAAAAGAAGAGTCTCACAAATAATGGAAAGACAAAGAAACATCCCCCAGTCAAAGGGAAAGGAGGAACACCCAGAAAGAGAACTAAATGAAACAGAGGCAAGTAAACTTACCAGATATTGAGTTCCAAACAATGGTTCTAAGGAAGCACAATGAACTCAGTGATTTCAGAGAGAATTACAAAAAACTACAGGGAAATTACAAGGAACTTACTACAAACTATATCAGCATGAGAAAGGATGTAGAAACTATCAATAAAAGACAAGAGGAAATAAAGAATACAATTTCTGAATTGAAGAACACAGTAGAAGGGATCAAAATCAGGCTAGATGAAACAGAAGATCAAATCAGTGAGCTGGAGGATAAGATAGGAAAAAGCTCCCAGAAAGAGTGAGAAAATGCAGAGACTCAAAGAGAATGAAGAGACACTTAGGGAAATGGAGGACAACCTGAAACGTAATAATGTCTGTATAACAGGGATACCAGAAGGAGAGGAGCAAGGGACAGAGAACCTGTTGGAAAAAGTCATGATGGAAAACTTCCCTCTTTGGAGGAGAGAAAAAGTCACACAAATCCAGGAAGCACAGAGGGTCCCATTCAAGAGGAACCCAATGAGGCCCACTCCAAGACGCATCATCATTAAAATAGCAAATATCAAAGACATACAGAGAATCCTAGAGGAAGCAAAGGAGAAACAGATAGTAACATACAAGGCAGTCCGATAATTGGCTAGCAGCTGACGTCTCAACAGAAACACTACAAGCCAGAAAGGAATGGCAAGAAACATTCTAAGTCATGGAAAGCAAAGACCTGCAACCAAGACTGTTGTTCTACCCAGCAAGGCTCTCAGTTAAAATGGAAGGCGAAATAAGGAGTTTCCCAGACAAAAGAAAGTTAAAAGAATACACCTGCACCAAACCAGCATTGCAAAATAGTCTACAGAGACTCCTTTAAGATCCAGAAAAAGAGTCTACAAATACCCAGTTCCTTTCACAGTCACCAATACTTGATATTACCTATTACTTTTAATGCTTATTAATCTGATTGTGACAATGACATGTTATTTGAATTGTTAATTTATTGTTTGTAGAAACTAAACCTGTTTTTGTATATTTCTTGCCTGTGTCTATTATTTTAAAAAAGCTTTAAATTACTTTTTGTTTTCTTCATCCATTTTTGAGTAATTGTGGAATTTCAAGCCCTAAAAAACACCCCAAAACTATTAACCCTTTTTTTTGATGTGTTGCAAATACTTTCCTATTCTATTACTTGTCCTTTATCTTTTTTAATATGTATATTACTGTATAGTCTTTAATGTAGTCATATTGTCAGTGTTTTACTTTATAGCTTCTGGGTTTGAACATTTTACTTCAAGGTAAGAAAAATATTATTTTGTATTTTCTCCTAAAACTCCTTAGATTTTATGTATTGATTTTTAACTCACCTGAGTATTTTTTGTATAATGTGTGAAATAGGGTTCTATATTTGTTTTAATTCAAGTAATAGTGCTCCATGCACTTTATGTGTTGAATAAGCATTATTTTCCCCATGGATTTGAAATATCAATTTAGTCATATATTACATTGTTAGATATATACGTTTGTTTCTAGAATGCTCATTTTATTTCATTGATCTACTTGATTATTTCTATGCTGATATCATGTTGTTTTAATTGCTGAGACTTTATAATGTATTTAAATTTTTTAATATTTTATAATGGATTTTGACATTTAAAAAATAAATAAAATTTTTTAAAAAGAAAATTAAAAATGAAGTCTATTGGCTTTTCTCAAATACAACTCTAAAGTTTTATGGATATCATTTTATTAATTATAACACCCATTAAAGTGACTACTTCCTATTCCAGATAGATTTCTTAAACATCAGAGGTGCTTTTTGAAGAAAATATTAAATGTTGATAGTTTTAACATATGTGGGACACACTATTTAATAGGTATAATAAAACCTTTTTAATTCTAAAGATTATTCTTATGAAATAATGGAAAAATTAAAAGGACACTGAAATATCTATAAGGTGATACATTTATTAACCTCCTTAATGGCATATTCTCACAGAATGGTGAGAAACTAAATACATTTTATAGTGTTTTCTAGGGTCCTTTTACTAACCTTTTTTTTATTACAATTGACATATATGCATATTCTGATATATGTATCTGTTTTTAATTCATTTGTGAATTATAGAATTATTTCTGAGAGCCATCTATTCAAAAGATAGATTTTTTTTTTTAAATAAAGCCTTTGAAAACTAATACCGAAGGGAAAAGTGCTTAATGTGTGATTGATTTTCAACTAATAGTTTGATTCATGAAAAATTAGTTAAGTATATTTTAGTATTAATGGAACTATATTAACTATTAGGAGCAATATAACCTTTTATTTTAGTCCAGGAGCATTCTTTTAACATTTATAGCATTTTTACTTTAAAATTGGAAAGAGGTTTTATAAA